CGGGGAGAAGGGGAGGAGGAGGAGGGGAGAGGAGAACGAGAAGGTGAGGAGGAGGATGAGGGGAGAAGGGTGAGTAGGATGGGAGACAGAGAGGAAGGACGACGTGATGAGGAGGAGCGGAGGAAGAGGAGGAGGAGGAGGGAGGAGGAGGAGGATAAGGAGAAGAGGAGGGAGGATGGAGGAGAGGGGAGGGAAGGAAGGAGGCGGAGGAGGGGAGGGGGGAGGAGGACGAGAAAGATGATGGTGAGGGAGAGGCTATGCACTATGCACCGACGGACGCGACCACTTGAAGTGGTCCACTGCACATCGTTGCGGGGGGGAGGGTCAAAAAAGTGGTCCCAAACATATTGCAATGATATTGTTTTTTACTCGCCCGAGGTGCAGTGCACCTCGTTGCGGGGAGTGTTTCCAACAAAGAAGTGCACTGGGCTTCGTGTTTCGCAAGGTGCGCCGACAATGTGCTGCAACCCTGCCGAGCGATGGCTCCCAAACGAAAACATCGCGTCGATCAACCTACATTGCCCAACAGATGTCGCACAAGCGTGGGCGCAATCGCCACGAAAGACATCTACACAGCATCACAAACGGCACATCCAACCGACACAATGTAGCACAAACTCGGCAACAACGATGTCGCAACGATGTCGCAAAGAGCTCGCAAAGAGCTCGCAAAGAGCTCGCAAAGAGCTCGCAAAGAGCTCGCAAAGAGCTCGCAAAGAGCTCGCAAAGAGCTCGCAAAGATGTCGCACCGATGTTGCAACGGTGTCAGTTTTAGGAGAACAGCCTCATAGGTTTCAACATTTGTCAAACAGCTGTATCACTTTTCTATCTTGTTTAGTCACATGTTTCTGACTGTGTCAAACATAGTTAACACAAGTTCTGGATGTGTGTGCAGGCATATGCTCTGGGATTGTTCAATCAGTTTACATACGCCGAGCCAGAAACGATGCCCCGACGAGTTGCCCTGATCAAGGAAATGGGGGGGCAGACAGCGGAAACACGGTCAGGGACCATTCTGACCCTACGAGGGGGGGAAAGGAAAGGGAGATCAATCGGAGGATGCTGAGGAGGAGAGATCGGAGGGGGAAGAGGAAGAGGAAGAGGAGGAGGAGGAGGAGGAAGACAAGGAGGAGGAGGGGAGAGAAAGTGGAGGACGAGGAGGATGAGGAAGAGGTGGGGAAGGGGGAGGATGGAGGAGTGAGGAGGAAGAATCGGCGGAGGAGGAGGAGAAGGATGAGGATGAATACAATAGCTTCTTGGAGCGTCTGGGGGGCCTGGTAACCACTCAGAAACGTAACGTCGTGTTCTAGTGCTTGCCCCTCTTGGGGCCGTCTAGGTTCCCTCAGGGGCATTCGTGGTCCTTATTGGGCGTTCCTGGGGCCGTCTGGGGCGCCCATGAAGGCTCCGAGAGGGCCCCAAGAGAGCCCCAGGAAGGTCCAAGTCCAAGAGGACCCAAAACGAGCACCAAGAGGGCCCACTCAGCAACATATAAGGTGTGTCTGGGGTTTCCTCCTCTTGGGGCTGGGTTGGGCCCCATCAGGGGCCTTCTAGGGCGCCTCTTTGGGTGCTCCCAGGGCAGTCTTGGGCGCGTAGGGGGGCTCCCAGAGGGCCCCAGGAGAGCCCTGAGAGGGACCCACGAGTGCCTGACTAGGGGCCCACGGAGGCCCACTCAGAAACATATACTAGTTGCATGGGGCTCACCCTTCTTGGGGCCGCTGCGGGCCCCTCTTTGGGTGGCTCTTGCCTCCGAGAATCCTCAAGCGAGCCCCAAGAGGGTTCCAAGAGGGCCTGAAGAAGGGCCCACGAGGGCCCATTCAGACACATGTAATATTAGTATGGTGCGTCTCCCTCTTGTGCCCTCCTCGGCCGCTCTTGGGCCCTCTTGGGCCAATTGGAAGCTGTCTTCCGCTCCCGATGGGTTTTGTCGATGGTTGGTAAGCGGGAGGGGCAGACCCGTACCCGAAGGGGGATAGGGAGGACTGGAAGAGGAACCGCCCTACACACCTGTTGGTGGGATACCCTGCCCCGTCGGCCACCTGTCACCCTAAACAATTGTTGGTGGGGGTACCCTGCCCCGTCTCCGTGGTTTTGGACATGTTGGCTCCGATCTCTCAGGTTGGCCAGTCTTTGCGATCAGTTTAACGTCTTGGAGTCGCCTCCGCGCTCCAGATTGCGTGATGTCGGCCCGTGGCTCGCCCAACCTTCACAAAATGACGAAGAAGCAGCTCATCGATCACGTGCAGCACCTAAACAAGGAACTCAAAGCAGAGAAGCAGATCACCAAACAACACCAGAAGTTCACGATCGGTATTGTTCGCGTGGTGGCCGCGAACGACACTGGCGTGGTCGCCAAGGCGAAATATGAGCTCCTGAAAAAGCGCAAGGTTTCGGAGAGTGGCAGCCAGACGACGATCACGCCCCTGGGCAGGCTCACTAAGTTGATGCCGCACACGCCTGTCATCGAGCTTGGCCCCCCCTCGTCGGCCAAGAGTCCCAAGAAGTTGAGGCAGTTGACTGCCCGCTGAGCGGTGTAGCACGGTGCTTGAGGACTCGGAGTAGAATCGGGTAGTGCAGGGGGGGGCGGGGGAGCGGCGAGGAAGGGGGGATGGGCTGGGGGGCAAGGGTGGGGAGGACAATGGCGACAAAAGGGGAAGGCTGGCGCAGAGCACGGGGTAAACGGACGCAAATGAGATGCGACTGTCGACAGGGTTGGTGGAGGAGGTAAGATAGGGGTGAGGTTAGGATATAGGTAGATGGAGGAGGTAAGATAGGAAAGAGGTTATACATGTAGGTGGAGGCCAGGTCAGGAAGGGAGCACGAGGGGTGCGGTGAGGTACGGGAGGTGACGAGACGAGGACGGAGGATGTACGATAAGCAACGGTGTTATACGATAGCGGAGGAACCGACGAGAGGTACAATGAGGGAAAGGGCAACGTTGCCTGCAGCTCTCTGCCGCTCTTTCTGCACGGCCGCCGTTCGGCGGGTGGACCAGAACGTGACGTTCGAGGCCGCCCCGCGGGCACAGCTTTGCTCCGCGCGCCGCGCGTGCGTCGGACAGGGCGCATCGTCGTCGCCAACGCCATCGTCGACGTCGTCGTAGTCGACGTCGTCGTCGCCAACGTCATCGTCGACGCCGTCGGCTACGACAACGTCGACGTCGACGGCGACGACGACCATGTCGACTATGACGATGACGCCGTCAACGGGGGCGACGCCGACGACAACGACGACGTCGACGTCGTCGGCGATGCCGACGACGACGTCGACATCGTCGTAGCCGACGTCGTCGTCGCCGACGCGTCATCGCCGACGTCGCCGCCGTCGTCGTCGCCGATGTCATCGGCGCCGACGTCGGCGACGACGTCGACTACGACGAAATCGACGACGTGTGGTCGTCGCCGTTTTGGGGCCACCGTCGACCGTGATGCCTCAAGAGCCCATCGGAAGCGAAACAACAAAAAACAAGCAACACCGATGTGCCTTAGGTATGTGAGCTGTGGTGGCATCTTGGGGGGGTCATTGGAGGGTTGAGCAGGCACTTGAAACGATTTTTGGGGCCGCTCTGAGGACTCGTGGATGTCTGTCGGATGCTAACTTGGGCCATCTTGAAGTATCTGGAGCCATCTTGGAGCGTCGACTAGATCAGGGCGCGCTGTTGTCGCCAACGTCGTCGTCGACGTCGGCACCTCTTGACGGAGGGTGGCCGTCAACAAATGCCTCCTGGCGGCCGACGGGCCGTAACTCATCCTTCCCTCTTGGGCCTCTCTTGGGGCTTCGCTCACCCCCACTAGGGGTACCCCAGTAACAGCCGCCCGAACTCTTCGAGCCTCCCCCCAAGAGGGGCCCAAGAGGGGAGGATGAGGTGCGGTTCGTCGGCCCTAGGGCCGACGAATCGTACTCACCCTCCCCTCTGAGGCCCTCGCTGTCGTCGTCGACGACGGCGACGATGCGACTACGACGACGACGACGTCAACGGAGACGACGCCGATGACAACGACGACGTCGACGGCGATGGCGGCGACGTCAACGTCGACGTAGCCGACGTCGTCATCGCCGACGTCGTCGTCGGATGTCGTCGGCGCCGACGTCGACGACCTTCGTCGACTACGACGGCGCCGACCACGACCACGACGACGACGACGTCGACTGCGACGATGTCGAACATCAACAGCGGCGACGTTTCGGCCTCTTGGGGCGTCCTTGGGGATCCTCGTGGCAATTTGTCGCCGTCCTAGGGACTTGGGCCATTGGTCCCCCCATGTGCCATCTTGGGATACGTTAACCCACTTGGGATGTCGCGTGCTCTCTGAGGCTGTCTGGAGGCCATCTTACCGTGGGAAGGCTCACCTGCCCTCTGAAAGGAAATACTGCGGTGAAACGAGGAAGCGCTGTAAACTAGGTCACCAGGTCACCCCCAGAGGCGCGGGGATAACCACGCTTCGCGCGTCGCGGCCTGGGCCAGAGCGAGCGTCGGTTTCCCAATGGGGGCGGCGTGAAGGCGCGAGGGCGCGAAGATAACCGCGCGTCGCGGGGCGCGATGCGCGAAGTTAGGCGGCCTACGTAACCGCCTCCGCCCAGCGGGTTCGTGGGATTAACAGCCACATAGCGTCGACGCCATCCGTGGCCATCTGTGGCTCTTCTGAAGTTGCTTCCGTGCGTCCCCGAGCTGTGCACACTATCACCTTGCCAACCGTGCGTTGCCACCTGTTTCGCACGTCTCGGGGTACCTGGCACTCATGGGGAAACGCGCTGTCGGCACGGAGCAACACAAAGGTGGAAAGGTTCGAAAAGGTGTGAGAAAACCAGCAGTCGAGTCAGACAGTGAGTCGAGTGGGCGGCAGCGTGGTGGACGGCGTCCGTCTGGTTCAGGTTTGGAGCATTGCGACAGTTGCCCAGCAAACAGCCAGGATGTTAATTTTGCCAAGGCGGACAACTTGCCAAACGCGTCCCGCAGACAGTGCACAGAGTGTTACTGGTTGTGGACTCCTTTGGCATCAATCATGACATACAAGCAGTTCGCAGCCAAAATCAAGAACGACGAGGCTTTCAAGATGAGGGCTAAGATTGCCAGGGAGGCCCAAAACGCGTTGAAGGATGTGGCATCGCCAGCTGACTTGGCGGCAGGCAGCAAGGTTTGTCTCGCCCAACCCAGAGAGAGTGCAGGCACAAAAACGATGCTAGGAGTCAGGCTCAGTCGCAAGGGCGAGCTCATCCAAGGCAAGAGCACCAGCCTGAAGGTTGGAGACGCCACGTTCACAGCAAAGCAGCTGGGCTTGGAGAGCACGTATGTCGAAATGCCTGACTGCGGGTTCGGCCAGGAGATGAAGGGTTGGCTTATCGGGTCGTCGGGCGAGCAGAATATGCAGGTGGAGGTCTTCTACCAGACGGCCGCAGGGGATGGGGAAGGGACGCCCAATGATCACCCCACCATGGACCATGTCGGAGTGGCACACCCAGGTCATTATCTCCAGGACTGTCGTACCCCTCATCGCTAGTGTCATCAATGTCCTCATCAGCATCGACATCGCCATCTTGCAATCTTCAACTGCATCATCACCTTCCTCCTCATCATCCGGTTCCCGCTCCCCTTCCCCCTGGCTTCTCATCCTCCGCCCCCCCTTCTCCCTCCGTTGTTCCTCAAGTCATTATTCCACCTCTGCCTCCTCATCTTCCTCCTCCTCCTCCTCCTGCTCCCCCCTCCTCCTCCGCCTCCACCGTCTCCTCCTCCTCCTCCCCCTCCTGCTTCATTCCCCTCCTCCTCCCCCTCCTCCTCAGGCTCATCCTCATCCCCATCATCCCCGTCTCGTCCTCCTCCTCCGCTTCCTCTTCCTCCTCCTCTTCCCTTCCCCTCTTCCGCTCACCTTATCTGTTCGTTTTCGTGATGGCGACGGGGTGGCGGGGAGGGGGGTGGCAAGGGGGGAAGGGGTACGATGGGGGGATGGGGTGCGGAGATAGAGACGGAATGGGGGAAGGCAGGGATGCAAAAAGGGCGGCGGGGAGAGAGAACGGGACGGTAGAGGACGAGAAGAGGATAATAAGGAGGAGGGGCATTAGCAACTAAGGGCGCGGATGAGAAGGGCAACGGTGACGGGGGACGAACGCAAACAGGATGTCGCCTCGTTGCCGCCTCTTGCGCTGGGCGGGTCTGTAGTGGTTTGGTTGCCGCCCGTGCCGCCTCGGTGTCGCCTCGTTGCCGCTCCGTGCGGTGGTTGGGTGGCTCCGCCGAGGATTCGATTCGCCGTGATGGATGCGTTGACCCGTGGCTGTGGCGGGCTCAAGCTGTGGGTGTCCTCGCTCGCCCGCCCGTTGCGGGGCGGGGGCATGTTGCGCCCCCACTGCCAGCGTGAGCGCCCGCCACCTGCGAAAGCCACCCCCTGCCAGCCGCCACCTGGCTTTGGCAAGATCCCCTACGCGCCGCCGCTTGGCCGCCATGTCCCACCGCCCGCCAAGGCGCTTCGGCCTCGACCACCGCCAAAGCCGCCGCCTGAGTCGATCGTGGTCATTGCGGCCCAGACAGCGAAAGCTGTCGCGACTCCGAAGGCGCCCGTGCAGGCAAAGCCCGAGGGGCCCGAGGTGGGCCATGGCGATGCCGCGGCCGAGAAGGCTGCTGAGGACCCTGATGAACGCTCTGCCAAACGCCAGCGGCTCGAGCCGCTCCAGGAGGCGGACGCGGATGGCAGCACGGGCGTCGACTGGGTGCAGCAGCCCCTTGGCGTCCTTGGCTTTGGCGCCGACCTACCCGATTCGACTGAGCTTCCCACCTGGTGGGGCAGCGTGGCGGCAGCGCATCGGCACATTGAGGAGGAATACAATCGCGGCTTCGAGGCGTACTTCAGCGCGCGCGTCGCCTGGAGGGCGTTCGCCGACGCGATGCGCGCCGCGGGGCAGGACGAAGAGCTCACGATCGCTGAGGGGCTCTACAAAGAGATGTGGGAAACGCGGGTCGACCAGGTTGTGGGTTGTTGGGGGCCACCACCTTGCCTGCGACCACCATTAGCCCATGGCTTCATGGTGGCCGCGGGCAGGTTTACGTGCTTCATGATCCCGCCCTGTAGGCGGAGGATCTCTTTGACGCTTGGGACGCCATGGCCCAGGCCGAGCGGGTCGCGCAGCCCGCTGCTCCCTGAGGAGCGCTCAGTCTTGCACAAACTGAGGAGGGATCGCGGTGGAGGAAAGGAGGAGGCGACATGAGGAGAAGGAGGATGAGGAAGAGAACAATGATGCTGATGATGAGGAGGAGGGTGATGGATGTCGCAATATAATACATGTTGGTCCCTGGAAGCTTCGCGCATTCCCCACAGCCCCTCCCGAAACGCTGCCCAAGCAAGCCGCATAGAACACGGAAATGGGTAAGGAGGATGATGAGGGTGCATGTTGGGAGGGATGGGGGGCGGGGGGGGGAGGGCCAGGAGCTTGGGATTTCCAGGATAAGGAACAGAGGAGCAGCGGTCCATCCTTCCCCCATTCCCACCCTAAACGCGGAGAGGGGGGGGGGGGGGACAACTGGTAACAGAACGCGAGGGGAAGGGAACGCGGCGACGCGCAGCCCGCCTGCTTCCTGGGCTGACCCCCCCCCCTCCTCCCCGCCATGATCGATGTCTGGACCCCTCCGACAGAGCCGTCGGTGGAGCTACGCTTAGTGGATCTCCGTATGTGGCCATCGCCGATTGTTCGCTCACACGTCTGGGATAGTGAGGGTGCGACCACCACTTATGAATGGACCGCTCGCGTCTACGTGCATATACACATATATATAGATATATACATATGCACACACGTGTGCATTGAAGACGCCTAACACGGCTATCATTGCCGCTCCCTGCTTTTTGGAAACGCCTGTGTGGTCAAACGTTTGGGCAGCGCTGTATCAAACCATTCCACGGCCTGCTTCCCCAGCTGGCGTGAAACTGGTGTCTTGGACACACTTGGGGAAGCAACGGTGGAGAGGGGGGAGGAAGAGTGGCCAAGGAAGGGCGGATGGCGTATTGAAGTATCCTGGTGTTCCTGGGCCTCATGCCGTTATCGGGCCCCCACACGGCTCCCAAAGGGCCCAAGCGGGCCCAAGAGCGGCCGAAGAGGGCTCAACAGGGAGACGCGCCAGAACGATGTTACATGTTCCTGAGTGGGCCCTCTGGGGCCCCTCTCGAGGCCCGTGGAGCTCCTCGGAGCCAGGAGTTCACTAGAGGGGCCCTAGACGGCCCTTAAGAGCGGGAAGCACCAGACACATGTTATGTTTCTGAATGGGCCCTCTTGGGCCCTCGTCATGCTCTCTTGGAGCCCTCTCAGGGCTCTCTTGGGGCCCTCTCGGGGCCTCCTTACGCGCCCAAGACTGCCCTAGAAGCACCCAAAGAGGCGCCCAAGAGTGCCCCTGAGGGACACAAGGCAGCCCCAAGAGGAGGACACCCCAGACCCATGTTATAGTTTGCGGAGTTGGCCCTATTGGGTTTTGGGCTTCTTTGGGCACTCTTGAGCCCTCTTGTGGCCCTCTTGGGGCTGCCTCTCGGAGCCTTCGCGGGCGCCCAAGACGGCCCCAGGAATGCCCGAGGAGGGCCCGAGAGTGCCCCAGAGGGAACCTAGACGGCCCCACAAGGGGGAAGCCCCAGAACAAATTAGATGCTTCTGGGTGGCTACCTGGAGCTTTTTTGGACGATCAGGGGGCCCCAAACCGCCGCCCGCGGAAAGATCTTCTGGGCGAGAACCCATAGGACTTTCCTGGTGGCTTTGTGGGCAATGTCAGGCACCTGCGCCTTTCTTAGACGATTTGGGGGCCCAAACGGCTCCCCTCGTGAAGATCGTCAGCGAAGATCTTCCCGTTGGGGGCCTCGCGGGCCTGGCGGGGGGCCTCTGGGGCTGTCTATTGTCCTGGGGGCTGTTTGGGCAGTCTTAGATGCCACTTGGGGCGTTCGTTGGCGAGCTGGAGGCCCGAACGACTCCCGACATGAAGATCTTCAGTGAAGACCTTTCCGCTGGGACTCCCAGAGTGAAGCCTTCCTGACCCCCCCCCCCCGCATACCACCCCCACCCCACCCGACCACCGTCGCATACATCACACGGACGCACGCACACACACACACACACAATCACGCACGCACGCACACATGCACACGAACACACACACACACACACACACACATGCCACACGAAAAACACACCCACCACACACACACAACACACATAACACACACACACACACACACAAACACACACACACACACACACACCACACACACACACCACACACACCGCACCACATCACACACCACACGCACACGCACACGCCACAACGCACGCACGCACGCACATACGCACACACACACACACCATACACACACACACACGCGCGCACACGCACACTCACGCGCACACACACACACACACACACACCACCACCACCACCACCACCACCACCACCACCACCACCGCCACCACCGCCACCACCACCACCACCACAACCACTACCCGCCACCACCACCACCCATACGCACATCCCCCCCCCATCCCGCCCATCCCCCCCCCCCCAGAGTCCCCCCGCCCTCCCTCCCCCATTATCCATCACTCCCTAGCCTCAACCCTCGACATTCGCCACGAAAAACGCCACCACACACACACACGCACACACAACACACACACCCAATCACACACACACACACACACAGCACATGAACCACACACACACACATCATACACACTCACCCATACACTAAAACACACCACCACCACCACCACCAACACCACCAACACCATCACCATCACCACCATCACCACACACCACCACGCCACCCCACCCCATCCCACCCCACCCCGCCCACCCAACCTCCCACCCACCACACACTCACACCACCACCACCACCACCACCACCACCACCACCACCACCACCACCACTCCCACCCCCCCCCACACCCGCACCTTTACCCTCGTCCTCACGCCCCCCCCCTCCGACCCTCACATCGCCCTCACTTCCACCCTCACTCCCCCACCAGCCACACAGCCACGTCGGGGCATCTCTGTTTATGGGGGCTGGTTACAGCATTATGGAGACACGTTCCGCTGGAATCGCTGTCGTCTTCGTCGTCGTGGCAGTCATCGTCGTCGTTGCCGTCCTCGTCATGGTCGTCGCTATCGTCGTTGCAGCCCTGTCGTCGTACATTTTTTTCAAGTTCGCCGCCCTGATCGCAGATCACTGTTTACGTGGACGGTCTATCGCTTTCTGGAGCCAAGTTCAGCATGAATATGTGTCTTCTCCGACGTCGCTGCATCGTCGTCGTCCTCGTCATGGTCGTCGTCGCAGCCCTGTCGGCGCTTCCCTTTTCATGAAGACGGGTTCCCCTAGTTGGGGAATGGGATGCAGCGGGTGTCGTCGCGGCCATCGATTTCTCAGTCGTCGTCGCCGTGGCCGTTGTGACGTTATGGTCGCGGTCCTCACGTCGTCATCGTCGTCGTCATGGTCGTCGTGGTCGTCGTCGCAGCCCTGTCGGTGTAACCCGTTTGTTTTGGAAAACTGGTTCTCTTGTTTGGGGGGGCAGGGTTCGGCTGGTGTCGACGTCAGCTGGCGTCGTCGTGGACAGCCTCACCCTTCCCCCCCCCCTTCCCACCACCACCGCCACCAACGCGCGCAGACAGCGCACACACACATCACACACACACACACGCGCACGCACACACACACACACACACACACACTTGGACCCCGCCACCACCAAAACCACCACCACCACCACCACCATCACCATCACCACTACCACCACCACCACCACCACCACCAACATCACCACCACCACCACCACCACCACCACCACCACCACCACCACCACCACCACCACGACCACCACCACCACCACCACCACCACCACCACCACCACCACCACCACCCACCACACACACACACATTCACCACACCACCACCACACCACACCATCCCGTCCCACCCCACCTGCCCGCCCACCCAACCAGCCACCAACCCACAACACACACACACACACCGCCACCACGACCACCCACACCCACCACACTTTCACCCCCACCCTCGCCGCGCCCTCGCCCTCACGCACCCCTCCCTCCCCCCGCTTCCCACCCTCACCGCCACCCCCATCCCCCACCCCAACCCCCCTCACGCCCACCCTCTCCCCCGCCCTCCCCCCCCAAACCACCGCGCACATGCAGTGGGGCCTCAGGCTGGGTGGAGTTCCGCATGGGGCCACGAAGCGTGTGAGGGGTGTGCCGAAATGGCGGGCTGGACATACGGTGAGCAGAGGCAGGGATGGGAGGAAGCAGGATGGGGGGGGGACGAAGGAGAGGAACGCGGGGCGCTGTCTCTTCCAAACGAAGACCCAACACCACAGGATGGTTGGGAATGAGAAACCAGCCTGCCAACAGGCGCCCCATGACATTATCGTATCCTTCGATGGCCCTGGGGCATCTTGGGGGGCTTGTGGTGCCTGTTGGGCGCTTCTCGAGGGCCTCAGGGAGCTCTCTTGGGAGCGTTTTGGCGCGTCTCGGAGCTACCTTGGATGCCCTCGATCAGAGAAGGGAGTGCGCTGGGTGCGTCGTGGCAATTCCCCCTCTTTCCCTTACCCCCTCCCTGGCCCACGCTCCTCGGAACGCCCTCCCCCCGCCTTCCAGAGGGCAAACAATCGCACGACGCTTCATTCAAATCAATGGTTTCCGAGGTCTCCCCAAGGGCCCAAAGGCATGTTGGACGCTGCGTACCCACAAGGCCCCAGCGGGGCCCAGGCCCTCGGACTGGGGGCGGGGGAATGGGAAGGGTGAGGATGGACAAGGACACGCCCTAAGCCTTAACCCTGAACCAACTCAGCCTAGCAAGCCAGTGACGGTGCTGACTCAAATAGCACAGGTGCTGTAAATGCAGGTGTTTTAGTGTCTCTGGCCCTGGGTGTAAGTCTGACCCTACATGGCATGGCCCGCCTCTTCGTTTTGCAATCCTTGCCCCGCAGGCCGTCGAGTCGAAGCAGCAGGCCCTGGATGGCGCCCTCATCAGAGACGTCTCGGTACTAGCTGTCAATTCGTTGATGAGCGAGTCGGCAGTCCATCGGACGTCGGTGTCGGAGGCGTCGGTGTTGGACGTCCTCCAGGGCAAGGCGCCGACCATGGGGGACTTGGTCGCGCGTGCAGCTCGCACTGACAAGAAGAGACTTTCTCGCAGGACAGGCGGTACAGGCGATGGCGCCATTGACCTCGAGGGCGACAATGACGCCCAGGAGTCCCACGAGCATGGCGTCGAGCAACGTCTGGGTCTAAGCAAGAAGGCCAAGGTGGAGCACGAGCTCGGGCAGGACAGTGAATGCCAGCTGGAGAAAGCAACGCCATCATTTGTAGAAGTGATCCTCCACGAGTCCGAGGTCCTGCATTGTTCGGTGCTCCCCGACGAGGACAACGAGCCGCTCCCCGACGATGGCGATGGCGATGATGCTGTATCGGTCACGTCCAAGGTCACTGTAGCGACGACTGCGGGGCGGCGGAGCACGGGTACAGGCAGCGGCAAGAAGTTGCGCAGGCGTCCGCCGAACTACTGGATCGAGAAACTCAGCCTGCGCTCCGCCACGCAGCATGGCTACGACAAGCGCGACAGCATGCGCGCCGAGGAGTCGAAGGTAAAGGAAGCTACGGGGCCACTTTCTGGAGACGCCGACCGTCTGGGACAGCATCTGTCGAATGTCTACCAGCTTGCGAAGTTGCAGAAGGCGTTGGTCGTCGATGAGCCTGACGTGGATACAATTGCCAGGATGCGGCTCGCTGGCCGCTTGGGCCTGGACCTGCTGCCCGATACATTGGTCGGGGTCTGCATGAGGGCAGCGCGGACTTGCTCACGGGAGATCATCGGCACTGACACGTTGAATGACGAGTTCATCAAGCGGTTGTGTTGCATTTCGTTGCCATGGGCCGCTGAAGGTGTCACGTTCAAAGTAGGCGAGCCCTCGATTGGCACTCTCTGGCCTCTGCTGCCTTCGCCGATGATTTCCGAAGCCGTGGTCAAGTGGTTGATCGACGACACGCTCGCGCCAGCCGTCTGCTCCTACGACGCCCAAGTGAACCACGCCCGCCTCGTGGGCATTGCAACCGCCATCGACGCGGCGTTCGAGGACATCCCTGCCGACATTGCCGTGTCGAAGCCAATCCTCCATGTGGTGGACAGCGTGACAACGTCAGCGAGGGCGATTATCGTCGTCTTGAACCCTTCCATCAGCAATGACACCATGCCCGAGTACTTCGACGACGTGATCACGGTGGACAAGCAGAGCAACAGGGCCGCCCCGACAGTGGCTTGCAACGTCGGCCTCAAGACCAAGGCGAACCAGCAGCTGGCGTTGCGCTTCGAGGACTTCGCGACCAAAGGGACGATGTGGAGACAGAAGGCTCCCGAGATCAAGCGCGCCTTGGCTACTATCCAGCAGCTCCCGACTACTGACCTGGACGGCGCGACGACGGCCATTGCTGCGCTTGCAGACCTGCACGGCAAGTATGCCAACGTGCTCCCAGACAACACGTTCGAGAACGCCATCGCTGCCGCCATCCGCCTAGTCAAGGGCATTCATGAGTCCATCAGTGCCGTGTCCGACGGCGTCGCTACCCTACAGCGCGCAAGTAAGTTGTTCATGGACGTCGGTTTGCTCGCCCCACTGAACGTTGATATGGACACCCTGGTTCACGATGCCCGTCAGCGGGCCCAGCTGGCGGCAGCAAAACAACAAGCATCCAACATGCAAGCCAGGTTCGAGGATATGGTCGCCACGTGGGGTGACACTACTTGCGACATCGACGCTTTTGTTGCGATATTGCAGCAGCAGGGGCAAGTACCTACTACCCAGGGTGGCGCGAAGATCGCAGACCTGGCCAATGACCTGATGCTGAAAGCTTCCATCGAGTTGTGGGTGGAGAATGCCAGCGAGGACAAGTTCACTTCATGTTTTGCCTTGTGCTCGGCTCTCCACCGCTATTTGTCCAAGGCCGCGGCTGCAGAGAACGTGCTCTTGTGCGAGTGGGCAAAATCGACTCGGAAGCTGAGCGAGAAATTAGAGTACCTTTCCAAAGCAACAGAGCAGAGTGAGCGGAATTGGCCAGAGGAGGAACGGCTTCTCATTGCCCTGGCGCACAGTCAACGGTCTTTGGTAACCAAGACGTCGGGCAAGAGCTTGTCGGCGCCGCTGGCGGTGATCAACCTGATGACGAATGTGTCGAGATTCTTGGAGAAGCTCAGCACGGAACACATTGACCGCCTGCGGGAGAAGCACGAGCCTTTGGTGAAGAAGACCAAGGAGTACACGTACTTTGATCGCCCCTACTACGACGGAGTGGACGTGGACGGGGATTGTTGGGAGGAGTTCGTCGAGAAGAGCAACAATGCGCTGATGCGCCTTGACAGCTCGTCGATCGACTCGCGCGTCGAGGAGCTCAAGAGAGCGACCATGCAGTTGGATAACATTCAGCACGCCCTTCAGTCGAAGGACGGGCAGTGGAAGGATATCTCAGACGTCATCACACATGCGATCAGCATCAACTGCCAGCTGAAGTTCATGGCCAAGGTCAAGTCGAGTGAGAAGACGGAGTGGCGGTCGGCGGCGTTTTCGTGCGTGACAGAGTTGCAGCAGCATGGGATATCGAAGGAATCGCTCCCTAAGATCGTGCTGCGCCGCCTGACCAACGCCATGAAGATGAAGGGCGGCTTGGCTGCCAAGTGACTCCTCTTTGCGCCGCTGCGTGCCGGATGCAGTGCCGAGCATGCTGGCTAATCAATTCTTGACGCTTCGCGTGTCCCCACCAGCCCATCCAGAAATGGTGCCCAGGCGAGTTGAGGTGATCAGGGAAGTGAGGGAGCATACAGAGGAACAAAGGGCTGGGGAAACCGTCTTACCCCAAGAGCGGGAGGATGGCAAAGGAATCGGAGGAGGAGGAGATGTGAGCAGAAAGGTCAGAGGCCTCTTGGATGCCTCTTTGAGTCTCTTCGGATGTCTCTTGGGAGCTTCTTGGGCGCCTCTTGGGGCGTCTTGGGGGCCTCATGTCGGTCCTGGAGGCCTCCTGGAGCGTCTTGGGTGCCTCGGGGGGCCGTTGGGGGCCTTTGGGGGGTCTCTTGGGGGCTGTTTGGGGTCCTCTTGGGGGCCTCTTGGGCTCTTGGGGCCTCCTGGGCGCCTCTTGGTGCCCTCTTGGGGCCCTCTTGGGAGCCTTGGGGGCGCTCTTGGGGCCATCTTGGAGGAGATCGATCAAAGAAGATGGGGTCCTGTATTCGCGCCCCCCCCTCCGAGAGGCCAAAAAGGAGCCAAAACCTTAGTGAAACCAATGAGTTTGGCTTCCTCGCTGGTGCCGTTTTGGGCGCTGTGACCGCTCGCCGCTCCCCCCCGTCCAGGTCCAGGGGAGGGGGTAGGGGGAGGGGTAAACCTCTCCCCGAAGGGGAAGAAGGGGGTTGGAAGAGGAATCTCCTTAGACCACCTACGCCCAGAGGGCTGGTGGGATCGTTTAGTTTTAATGCCACTTACATTTTTACTACACAGGGTGACCAGGAGGAGCGCGGGGGAGGGCGGGTGTCAGTCCTATCACCCTTGACGGCTATCGCAAGAGGGCCCCTATGGGCGGCTTCCAATTGACGGCCGTCAGTGGGGCGAGAGGTGCATTTCGAGGGCGCCGTCGCGCGGTCAGGCGCGCCCACCGTGCGGCAAGGGCACAGCGCCTGAGTTGTCAATGTGCTTCTGACCTGTGCGTTTTAGTCTTCGCGGCGTTGGCCGCAAGACGCGAATTTTCCAACATCGGGCAGGACTCATAGCAGCAGCATCGTTGTCGGACGGCCCGTTCTACGTCAGAACCTCGTTCGATTGAACATTATAGGTAGCGGTCTGCCAAAAGGGGTATGCATGGGTGTATACGAATACGGATACACATATGAGAGTAGGATGTGTGAGCATGAGGTTCGAGCTGCTATTGCAGAGTCCGCCCTTGATGAGTCTCGCAGCTGTCGCTGCACACCACGGCGTCTGTCGCCATTCATGGAGCTTCGCTCCTTCAGCATAAGGCGTGATGCCGCCTGCCCCCTTTTTCAACCAGCATCTTGGGCGCCCTGACCGCTCGCGCCCCCCCCCGTCCAGGTCCAGGGGATGGGGGGGCCCCTCACCTAAGGGGAAGAAGGAGGTTGGAGTAGGACGATCCTTAAACCAAATACGTACAGAGGGCTGGTGAGATTTTGCCACGCAATATAACGCGCAACGAAGACGATTAAACACCAATCCCCAACGCGGTTGAGGCAGGTAACGCGACTACGACGAAAGCAAGTAAACTAGACTAAGCTAAGTCGCACTCAGCTTCTGAAGAGTGGCCCAGTACTGCTCTAAGAGGGGCTCAGAGAGCCCAAGATGACCTCCAGGATGGCTCACGATAGCCTGAGATGCCTCACGATGGCCCCGAAGCTGCCCCAAGAGACCCCAAGACCGCTCCAAGACGGCTCCGAGAGGCCTCCGAGCTCGCCACGGGGGCCCCGAAGAAGCCCAACTCCTTGAAAGACTTAAGGACCATCAATGCTGGTTGCTGTCTCGCCTGTTCGCTTCCGATGGCCATCCGAGGCCTCAAGATGGCTCCAGGATTGCCCAATAAGGCCCCAAGAGAGGCCCGAGAGAGCCCCGACACGGCCCCAAGAGCGCCCAAGTGCCCCAAGAGCGCCCCAAGAGGGGCCCACGAAGTGATGTTGGGCGCCTCTTGGGACCCGCTTGGGGCCCTCTTGGGAACCTTGGGGGCGCTCGTGGGGCCATCTTGGAGGAGATTGATCAAAGAAGATGGGGTCCTGTATTCGCCCCCCCCCGAGATGCCAACAAAGGGCCAACACCTTAGTAAAACCAATGAGTTTGGCTTCCTCGCTGGTGCCGCTTTGGGCGCTCCGACCGCTCGCCTCTCCCCCGTCTAGGTCCAGGGGAGGGGGTAGGGGGAGGGGTAAACCCCTCCCCTGAGGGGAAAAAGGGGGTTTGACGAGGAATCTCCTTAGACCACCTACGCCCAGAGGGCTGGTGGGATTGTTGATTGATAACGCCACTTGCACGTTCACTAAACAGGGTGACCACGAGGAGCGCGGGGGAGTGCTGGTTTCAGTCATACCACCCTTGACGGCTATCGCAAGAGCGCCACTATGAATGGCTTCCAGGTGGCGGCCGTCAATGGGGTGAGAGGTGCATTTCGAGGGCGCCGTCGCGTCGTCAAGGCGCGCCCACCGTGCCCCAAGGGCACGGCGCCTGAGTTGTGTCTCTGCTTCTGACCTGTGCGTTTTAGTCTTCGCGGCGTTGGCCGCAAGGCGCGAGTTTCACAGCATCGGTCAGGACTCATATCAGCAACATCGTTGATGGACGGCCCGCTCTACGTCAAAATCTAGTTCGATTGATTGGTATAGGTAGCGCTCTGCCAAAAGGGGTATGCATGGGTGTATGCGAATGCGGATTCACATATGAGAGTAGGATGTACGAGCCTGAGATTCGAATGCAGACTCGACGCAGGGACCATGTGTAAGCTTGTTTCGCCGATCCAACACGTTGCCTGCAGCTGCGGCGGTCGTCCCACGTGGCCGTTGATATTACATATTCCACCCTTGATGAGTCTCGCAGCTGTCGCTGCACACCACGGGGTCTGTCGCCATTCATGGAGCTTCGCTCCTTCAGCGTAATGCCGCCTGCCCCTTTTTCAACCAACACTCTTCAGAAGCTGAGTGCAACTTAGCTTGGTCTAGCTTACTTTCTTTAGTCGTAGCAGCGTTACCTGCCTCAACCTCTTTGGGGATTGGTTTATAATCGTCTTCGCTGTGCGTTAGGTTGCGCGGCAAAAATCTCACCAGCCTTCTGTGCGTATTTGGTTTAAGGATCGTCCTACTCCAACCTCCTTCTCCCCCTTCGGTGAGAGGCCCCCCATCCCCTGGACCTGGACGGGGGGGGGGGCGCGAGCGGTCAGGGCGTCCAAGATGGCCCAGTATTGCTCCAAGAGGGGCTCAGAGAGCCCAAGATGGCCTCCATGATGGCTCACGATAGCTTAATATGCCTCACGATGGCCCCGAAGCTGCCCCAAGAGACCCCAAGACCGCGCCAAGGCGGCCCCGAGAGACCTCCGAGCTCGCCACGGGGGGCCCGAAGGCGCCCAACTCCTTGAAAGACTTAAGGACCATCAATGTTGTTTGCTGTCTCGCCTGTTCACTTGCAAGTTGGCCATCCGAGGCCTCAAGATGGTTCCAGGATTGCCCAAGAAGGCCCCAAGAGAGGCCCAAAAGAGCCCTAACACGGCCCCGAGAGCGCCCAAGAGTGTTCCAAGAGCGCCCCAAGAGGGGCCCACGAGGTGATGTTGGGCGCCCTCTAGGAGGGGCGCGAATTTAGGACCCCCCCTTCTGTGATCGATCTCCTTCCAGATGGCCCCAAGATGCGCCCAGGAGGCACCGCGAGGCTTCCAAGATGGCCCCAAGAGGCCCCCAAATGGCCCCGAGAGGCCGCCAAACGGCACCACAAGCCCACCAAGAGGACCCCAAGCGGTCCCAGGAGGCCCCCCCGAAGCACCCAAGACGCCCAAGAGCGCCCCAATGGCCGCCACGGGGCCCCCAAGACGCCCGAAGGGGCATCCAAACGGCTTCTAAGAGACATCCGAGAGGCATTCAAGATGCTTCTTGACTATTTTGCTGGTCCTCGTCCTCCTCCTTCGTCCCCTCCTCTTCCTCCTCCTCCTCCGCCTCGTCCTCCTCCTCCTCCTCAGCATTTTACTCATTATCCTCGTGCCCCTCCTTCCCATCCTTCTCCCCATTGTCCTCCTTCTCGTCCTTCTCCCCCTTGCTCGCCCTCCTCGTCATCGCCCTTCCGACGACGACGGTTCCTCCTCCATCCACCTCTCTTGGAGTCCCACCAGCCCTCTGGGCGTCGGTGGTTTAGGGGGGCGTCCTCTTCCACCCCTCATTGTCCAAATTCGGTGAGGGGTTTACCCCTCTCCCTACCTCCTCCCCATGGACCTGGACGGGGGTTTCAACCAGTCGTCGGAACGTCCAAAACGGCCTCGGCGAGGAAGCCAACATCATTTGTTTTACTAGGGTGTTGGCCCAAATTTGGCCTCTTGGGGGGCACGCTAACTAGACCCCCCCCCCCTCCTGTGATTGATATCGCCCAAGATGGTCAAAAAAATGCTCGACAGGCTCCCAAGGGTGCCCCAAGAGGGCCCCAAGAGGTGGCCAGGACGCCCCGAGAGGCCCCCAGCATGTCCCCAAGAGGCTCCCGAGACCCCCAAGAGGCCCCAAGCGACCACCCAGCGGCACCCAATATGCTCCAAGAGGCCTCGGCGAGAATGCCAAATCCTTGATATTACGAAGGTGTTAGCCACATGGTGGCCTCTTGGGGGGGGGGGGGCGGGTGAAGATGACGCCAAGAGCGCCTGGGAGAGCCCAGGATGACCTACAAGATTGCTCAAGATATCACAGGATGTCTCAGAATGGTTTCCTCGGCGTGCTGCCCACTTCCCTGATCGAGGCAATTCCCCTGGGCATCGTTTCTGGATGGGCTGGTGGGGATTCGCGAAGCGCCAACAATACATGACAACTTCCCCAGCACGTTGTGCGTCTGCATGGTCGCCCGCTCCCCTGACGACGTCAACTCCCTTGGGCGTCGTTTCTGGATTGGCTGGTGGGGGGCGCGCGAAACGCCAACGATGTGGTTGCAAATGTGCAGTGCCGTGGTGGTTGCCGTGCCTTTCCAACGCTTGCCGCCGCTCATCATCGCGGCGGGCCCTGGGTCTCCGCCTAGCCGTGCGTTATTTGAGTTTGCCTTGTAGCCGCGATGGCTGGAGCATGGGGCCTGGAACATAGAGTAGACGTAAGACATTGGAACAAAGGCACCGAGTATGTAGCCACGCTCAATTTGACTGGCGCATCCCCAAACACTGCCTGCAACTTCCGATGCAGTCTCAGCTGTCGTCGCTGTTGCTGCTGGTGGCGCGCGCGAGTGAATGTTAAGTTTGTCGCCCCCCCCCCCCAGGGGCTCGCAACCCTTTTCATGGACGTGGTGCCGTCATTATTGGGGGCACCCCTCCTGAGCTGCATGGTTGCCTGCCCCTGGCGCGCCCGCCTGGGGAATCGAGTGCGGCGCTGCGTAGGTTTACCAAGCTGGTCCGATTGCTGGCCCAGCGCGACAGCCGACCTACGAACTGGTCTTAACAGAGCACAACTACCGACGCCACCCATCGACGTCGCAGCGCCTAATGTCCGCGCGCGCGCGCCGAAGCAGCCACGAGCAAGCTTCCGTTGATATCGCGAGCGCGCTGGCTGATTGCCGCCAGGTTGTGTTGCGCTCGTTGCCCCCGTGCCCGATCTACGCGAGAACTTCGTCGCTACCCTTGTCGGGCACGCCGCGGCGCAAACTGATCAGAAAGGCTGGTGCGCCACCGATGACGCAACACAAACCACATTAACACCGTTCGCTATATCGCGGCATTGCGCCGCGCAGCTTTGCCGCGCCAGAAGTTCCTTCGCAACTTGCCTTCCAGATTTCACGCTGGCCTGCCTGGGGCGGTCCACTCGAGTGGGCGAGATGGCTGGCCGCGCGCTGCGAATGTGAACCATGCCAGCAACGTCGCGTATGATTGCGACAGCTTGGCCTGCTGAGCCCGAGTGCCCAAACATGGCCTAACAAATAGTTGGGCTCACCGAGATTACGCGTGGAAACTATGCGATGCACGTCGCCGGCCTGCGATGGCGACAACAACAACAACACTGGAAGCGTGTTCGCCGAAACCTAACGTTTTTGGTTCGATTTAGAAATGCGGCGTTCTTTTATGCGCACGACCTACGGCACGTTCGCATGCTTCCACGCAGCAAAGCTGAAGTTGCATGTCGGTGTCAACGGATGCGCCCCTGCACAATATGCTGAATGTGCCCATCGTTACATCAGCGGACCCGTGCGACAATGACTCGACCGCGCGAATTGCGGGCGCGACACCTATCAGCCACAACGCCAGGCGCAAAATACATAGCATTGCCGATGGGAATACACAGCCGCGGCAAAACAAATCACGTTGCAATTGTTGTGCCAATTCGTACGCGCGCAATATATCATGCACACCTGTTTGCATATACGCACGCGCGACCTGCAGGGCCGACCGCTCCACGTCGTGCGATCCAATTGCGCTGCCCGCCAACGGGGCCCGCAGCATTTGATTTCAACAAGACTTCTGCGGCGCGAAAACTACGGCAGCGCGCCTCCCAGCTTCATTGGCCGCGCATTAGGTTGCCAAGCTTTGTCTGCTTGCGGGGATTGTTGCCCGCTCTAGGGCGCCCCGTCATCAAATGCCAGCGTTTTCAGAAACGCGCGGGCGCCACTTAACTATGCGCGCGTCGCCGCGCGCATCCAGGCCACACCTGATGAAACGCGCGCGAGACGAGCGTCGGCCACGCCGCTCGGCAAACGGGCGCAATTTAGCGCGGGCGACAATGGGGGGGGGGAGGAGGAGCGATCAAGGCCAGAAGGCGGGGGCGGGCGGGCGAGCGGGGGGGGGGAGCGGGGGGAAAGACGAAGCAGCGACGGGCGACGAACGAGGGCCAAGACTACGAAGAGGTCGCGCGCGACGAAGACGTATGTTTGTCCTCGTCGCGCGCGGACTCCCCGTACACTCAACGGGAAACTTTGACATTCGCAAAAATGCCGCGTCTTGGCAGAACGCTTGCAGCGATGCCGCCCTGATGCGCTCCGAATCAGTTCGGAAGGCGTTTAACATGGCGCGCGCGGATGTCGCATGCCAGCATCTTGTTGTTGCGGCTAGCGCGTAACCGAGCAGTTTCCGCGGTTGTTTTCTTCGCTCGGTTCCCCCCCCTTAAATTATGCGCCGCCTCGCTCTAGCACGGCGCTATCGTCGGCGTCGCGGGCGCGCGGGCGGCGGCGCCCTCTAAAGCGAACGCAACGTTGTCGCGGGCGCAATGCGCGAGCGAGAATGCGAAAAGGCCCCAGACCTTGATCGAGCGCAAAAGACACTTATGGATAATCCGCGGGAATGCCGCGAGGACGCGACGACGACCAAAAAAATAAAAAAGCGCTCTTCCGAACGACATCTTTTCAATAACTTTTGGAAAAAGTTCGGCGATATCTTGGCGACATGCCCGCGATATCACAGCGAGTACTTTTAATTATTTACTGAAATCCCTCTCTGTCCACGCTCGTACTTTCTTAATGCACACCTTTAATTTGTTACGAGAAAGCGTCGCTCCTGTCACGTCCTGCGAGCATGTCACGGATAGAAGCCGCGCCAAGGGGCCACCCTTTGCGCTGGTGTCGAGAAGATGCCGCTCTTACCACGCCCTGCGAGCGTGTTA